GGGGTAGGCGCAGGAGGCAAGTACGTACGTGTCACTGTCATTGTCGTCGTGCCCGTCATCGGGCGTTGTAGTGACAGTGGCGGCCTGCAGAGCCTGGAGTGCGGACATATCGAAGGTGGGCTCATGATGCTGCTCGGGGGTGGAGCGGGCAGCCCGTGCAGTTGTGATACAGCGACGGCCCCGTGCGGGGCGGTCGTTACTCGGTATGTTGCTGCCGGCGGCGGGAGCAGTAACTAATTGCCCAAGTTGCGAAAGGGAATGAATTTGCTCTGTAAAATCTCGGTCCTAGCGGGGGTAGTTACTCCATCACCCGTGTCCACGGCCGCGCAGGCGCCTGTGGCCGTGGTAGCTGCGGCCATGTCTGCCTCCAGAGTTGGGGGTGTTGGTTGACGCTGAAGTGTCTGCAGCGGTAGGACGTATGCTCGGGGTCAGTGTGGTATTGTTGGAGGTTTTTTGGTTCTTCTTTTCAATGTCGAGCAATCTATCTTGGAGGTCGGGGATGAAGTGGCCAAGGGTGTCGGAGGGTTGAGCGTTGGGTGATTGGAACGGCGTTGGGGTGAGACCAGCCATGTTGTGTTCTCGTAGAGCTCTGGGGAGGTCGATGTCGAGTTGGGTTAGGAGAGCGTCGTCGTAAAGCTCAAACAAGATATCTGCGGTGCGACGGTAGTGCAGACGTTGAGAGCGAGATGACGTTGTGTTAGTGTGTGCGGGAGCGATGCTCTACCGGATGTGGACGCGGAGCTAGGCTCGACGCGCAAAGCGCGGAGCGATGCTCGACGTAGGTACGGTTGGGGTGATGGGTGAGCGGGTCTGACGATTAGGCTTCGGTATTCGCGGGGCAGTAGTGGCGGTTGTTTAAACGATGGTGCCCATAACCTGTGATGACTGAAGTCTCGTGTCCGTCGTCTTCATTATCTGGTTCCTAAGGTCTCCTTTTATAGGCAGAATGACGACGGTGTGTTCTAGGGCACCACGTGTGCTGTTGTGCACCCGTGCGTGGTGACAGAACGACCCTCAAAGTCGATTCGCATGTATACCTTCATGTATCGAAACCCGATCACAGGTCCAATCAGGATATCGGGTTTCACAACCAAACAACCAGATCACCGTGCGGTAGACTGTCGCCAAGCCGTCTCGGGGTACAGTAGGCTCTTTGTGCAGTTACCGCGAGACAGCATAGAGAGCCAATAAAATAGCGATATTCTGATCCGTCTCACGAAACATTGTAGTGATTGTGTAGTACACCATGAACTGTACAAATGACTTACATATTCGCTTTCAGACCGGGCAACGTCGGCAACGTGGCACTCCCACAATTGCGCGCCTTTTCCGAAATGCAAAACTGACCCAGGACATAACCATGTCATTTCCAAAATGACATCGCCATTTAAAATATAGAGCAGTTGCCGCCATAGCGGCCACAGTAAGCACATCGATCACCAAACAAGCCCCACATACCAATCTTCACCCTCTCCGAATCCCCCATTCCCGCTGCCACAAAGATGGAAGCCCTCAGCAGTGAAGACGCTGCAGCGGCGCTCGTGGCATTATCGTCCGTTGCTATCGAGCGCCGCAATGAGCTCGAACAGTATAGTCAAGGCCGCCCTGCTGATTCTGATGAATACACTGGCAGCGATTCCAAGGTGTTCGATGCATTCTACGATCAAGACGGTGCCCGCACCATCCTCGCGATGACCAACTTTGAGCGGCAAGAATTTATGGCCATATGGGCAGGATTTGAGGAATTCATAAAGTCGAACTTTAATGTCGGACGGGGCCGCAAGAGTGCACAAAATCCCAAAGACGTGCTCTTAATGGCGCTGGCCTTCCTTTAGCACAGGGGAAACTGGGACTTCCTTGCCCAAATGTCTGGAATTTCTGCTTCGTCCTTCGAGAGGCTCATTATGAAGTTTGTGCATTTGATTTCTAAGGCGGTCTATGACAATTATGTTGACTCTCAAGCACGAAAGTGGACCATGGACCTCCTGAAATCGAAAACCCGTTGTTTTCCAATTATCCCATGGCACATTTTGCCACTGAAGTGACTTTTTAACCAAGTTTTAGGCCCTTTGGGAGCATTAAGGAGGGCAAGAAGTACTTTTCTGGAAAGCACGAATTATATGGCTACATAGTCGAGGTGTCGGTGCTGCCATGTGGTTTGGCGCTCGGGGCTAGTTTCCATGAACCGGGGTCTGTCTCGGATCTGGTGCTATTTCAGCAGATGCAATCGTTCCATGGCAAGCAGCTGAAGAAGACATCCGCAGAATTGGACATGTTCTATGAAGGTCCACTGAACCAGCGCTATCCTAACCACTGGGCTGTGCTGACAGACAAAGGGTACCAGGGAGGAAAAGAGTTTTGTCGCATTATTCACCCCACGCGCAAACAACCTCGAGGTCTTCTGACGCCTGCCGAGGCCGCGGAAAACCACCACATTTATAGCGACCGAATAATTGTTGAGAACTTTTTTGGTCGCCTTTTGTGGGCTTTGGAACGTGTTGTCCAGCAAATGGAAGTATGCTGAGAAAAACTACGATGCAGTCTTTCGACTGTGCCTCGGCCTCACCAATTTTCACATTAGCCCCAAGCCACTGCGGGCTGCCGATGCAATCCTGTACCAGCAATTAGCTAATCGCTGGTTCAAGATATGAACCTCACAGATCGAACGTCGAAGACGTATACAGAAGAAGTATAAAGAAAAACGCCAGTCCGCTGCCCGTAGAGGATTTAGGGCCGCTGTTGTTGCGAACCAGCTCGGGCGCCAGCCGAGCGAAGACTGGTGATTTGGGCAGTTTCGGTTTGTTTGCGCAGTGACCTGGTCTTGGCGCTCATCACTGCCTTTCTTGCGTACGTTTAATTAAAAGGTGAAATCTATTGTGGTGCGTGAAAGACTGCGAAAAGGCCTAATAAAAGCGTTGAGTTTGGCTTTGAGCCCGTTGCTGTCCATTTGGGTCATTGTGGTGTGTTCAGGACCACATCAGGACCAATGATAGCAACCTGGGCCGGACTGGCCGGGCCGGTCCCGGCACCAGTCAATCATGCGCCGGGGCAAAGGCCATTGTTGTCACTTCATGATTTATAATTTTCATTATTTTCGCGTTATTATTATTTAAGTCTAATACAGGCCAGTTTGCGCGCAGGGAGGTGGCCGATGCGTGGGTTGGCGACCGGGACGCCGGCGGCCGCAGTGATCCCGCGCTGTAAGTGCGATATGAGTGAGCGAGTTTACACGCAGTTACTGGCACTGTTGACAGCGTGACCGGGGTCGGATGCTGCGTCGTACACGTACACGCGCGCGATGCGTCCGTCCCGACGCGTGCACATCGTTGCGTCTACTTCGCAATGCGCTCCTCACCTCCGTCCCGCTCGATAAACGAGAACTCCTTTCACGCCTCCTCCTTCACGCCTCCCCCTTCACACCTCCCTGCGCCTACCGAATCTCTTCCTCGCCTAGTCCGCCATGCCCACCTCCCCGTGCGCGCCGCACCAGACGGCGGGCAGTCCCTGCGCATGCTTATGCCTATGGTGGCGCCGTCCCGCACCACCTCCTCAACGCGCACGGGCGCAGCCACTACCGTGCGCATGGGCGTGGCCACCCTGCTGACCTCGGCGAACACGTTGTAGCGACGCCTGCGCTCGCGGCGTCCGCGGACGCCGCGGCGGCTCGGGCGGCAGCTCCAAGCGGATCCACTGCGGCACGATGACGTGCGGGGCCAGGGTGCACGGCTGGCTGCAGCGCCGTCACGGGAGCACGCGATCGATGGTGAGGATCTCGGCCTCTGCCGTCCTCCGCCATGCTGCGCAGCTCGCCGCGCGTGCCGAGCGAGGCGCGTTAGGACATCGTCGCGGGAGGACATCGTCGCAGGAGGCTTTGCGGGACGGAAGCGGCGGAGGGTGGGGAGGCGCGCGGGGCGCGACAGAAATGCGTTCGAGGGCTGCGGGCGCGGCCGCAGGCGCTGTAGTGGCCGCGTTGGCCGCGTTGTTGGGCGCTGCGGCATGGCGCTGGACGCGCGCCGTCCGCGCGGACGCCGCGAGCGCAGGCGTCTCTACAACGTGTTCGCCGAGGTCAGCAGGGTGGCCACGCCCATGCGCACGGTAGTGGCTGCGCCCGTGCGCGTTGAGGAGGTGGTGCGGGACGGCGCCACCATAGGCATAAGCACGCGCAGGGACTGGCCCGCCGTCTGATGCGGCGCGCACGGGGAGGTGGGCATGGCGGACTAGGCGAGGAAGAGATTCGGTAGGCGCAGGGAGGTGTGAAGGGGGAGCCGTGGAGGGGGAGGCGTGAAAGGGGTTCTCGTTTATCGAGCGGGACGGAGGTGAGGAGCGCATTGCGAAGTAGACGCGACGATGTGCACGCGTCGGGACGGACGCATCGCGCGCGTGTACGTGTACGACGCAGCATCCGACCCCGGTCACGCTGCCAACAGTGCCAGTAACTGCGTGTAGACTCGCTCACTCATATCGCACTTACAGCGCGGGATCACTGCCGCCGCCGGCGTCCCGGTCGCCAACCCACGCATGGGCCACCCCCCTGCGCGCAAACTGGCCTGTATTAGACTTAAATAATAATAACGCGATAATAATGAAAATTATAAATCATGAAGTGACAACAATGGCCTTTGCCCCGGCGCATGATTGACTGGTGCCGGGACCGGCCCGGCCGGTCCGGCCCAGGTTGCTATTATTGGTTCTGACGTGGTCCTGAACACACCACAATGACCCAAATGGACAGCAACGGGCTCAAAGCCAAACTCAACGCTTTTATTAGGCCTTTTCGCAGTCTTTCACGCACCACAATGGATTTCACCCTTAATTAAATGTTTCTTTCTAAAATTTTGTATGAATTTTGCAATGCACAAAAACCGCTCCGTCGTCAACTTACCAAGGTCTTAGGGTGACCCCACCGCGCCTTGCCCAAAATCGCTAAAAGCAGACAGTTGTCCTCCGGTAATTGGATCTACTATCTTTTAATCAAGCCGCGCTTTGGGAGAGGTGGGGATTCAGAGATGAACCTCACCGCGCCTGTAACACGATACTTCTATCATATTCAGGTTCAACCCAATTAGGCTACAAGTCTGTCGTAGAAATACATTTGGCGCAAAGAAGCAAGCTACTGCACGCGTCCGTTCCACAATTGGCCGCAACTTTTGCTCGTCACTTGCCCGCTCTCCATAACATGTAGGCTCCTGTTTGGGAATTATCAACTTGGCAAGTACACCACGCTTGCAATTCCTATTATGGACTCTGGAAGCGATTCCGATGATGCCATCGCGGCATATTTCATGCATTCTCTATCTGCTGCTGCTTTCGCTGGCGCTCTGGTCGCTCGGCAGCACAGAGAGCGTCCGCGATCCGGAGGGAAGTTCGGAGGATCAAGAATGGGAAAGGCGATGAACAGAGATCGCCATCGCCATCGCTTCGAAAGGCAAACAAATGAAGACTGGTTTTTGTCGCGGGATAGTGCAGGCAGCAGGTCTCTCTTCACGGCAGAAGAGTTTCGTGGCACGCATCGCGTTTCCATGGACATATACGAACGCATTCGCGCGGTGCTGCCCGAGGTTGATCCATGGTTTGCACAGAAGGCTGGCGCGGTGGGCAAGCAGGGAGCGTCTACGGATCAGAATCTCATCGCAGCCCTGCGCATGCTGGCAAGCGGCAACAGCGCGAAAAGCGAAATAACGCTTATGGGGTTGGCGGAATCAACTCTTCTGGAAAACTTAAAACAGATTTCTGCGGCGATTGTGATGGGGTTTGGAAAAGAGTATTCGCGCCTTCTAACTACGGACGAAATTATAAAAATAGAAGCAGAGTATGCTGCGATGGGATTTCCACGCGCCATAGGTTGCGTCGATTGTGCAAGCTGGACTTGGGACGCATGTCCTGTTGCTTGGCAGGGACGACACCAGGGCAAGGAACGCAAAACCTTCAATGGTATGGGAGTAGTGTGCGACGATTATCTTCGTATTTGGCTCGTGAATTTTGGAGCACCTGGGGCGAAGAAAAACATTCAGATAATGAACGCCTCCCCCTTGTTTAACAATTTGAGATCCGGAAAGTGGCCGCCGACACGCCGTGAAACTGACGTTGGCGGATTTAAATTGAAATGGTACTACTTCCTCGCTGATAGTATTTATCCTAGGTTCCGATTTTTCGTGTCCACGATTCCACGACCACGATCAAAGAAAGAGAAGATGTTCGCAAAGCAGCAAGAGGGAGCTCGCAAATCTGTCGAAAGGGGTTTTGGAGTTTTATTCAAGCGGTGGCAAATACTGTACCGACCAAGTCAGCTGTGGCGAAAAAGTGATATGAACAATATAGTTTTAGCATGTGTCGCGATCCATAATATGGTAGTGGAGGAACGCTGAGAGCAATACAAGGGTACAGAAAAGGCACGCCTGCTCGAGGACGAGACTCGCCTGCCTACGGAAGTCCACGTGAATTGGAGGTCGATAGATTGCGCCGAGGGAGCAGCTACCTAGGGCGAGTTTGTAGATGGCTGTGAAGACGTAGACCAACACCTGCAGCTGAAGAAGGCATTGGCGAATCACATATCGAAGGCGAGAGAGAAAGTCTGCCATGAGAGCGATGGGGACGATTTTACACGCGAAGAAGACTATTTCGGAAGCAACGACTCTACTGCATGCGATGATGAGAACGGTAGTGATGCTGAGATTTTCTCGCTATCACCATCACGACCATTTTAATCATCTTGTGTTCCACTCGTGCATGCCCCTTTCTCATTTGTAGTTTTACTGAAAATTCCAAGTCTCTATTCCCTATTCCGGTGATATGGCTAATGTTATGTTACATCCAGAAATGAACCTCCCTGACGGTTCATTTCTGAAAGGGCCTCGTGCTCACTGACGTAGGCTGACATACAACCCCAAAAATATGTGAGGCCTTTCCATACTACAATTTGAAATATCTAAAACTTTTTCTACGGCAAGTAATCTAATCCCACTGTATTCTAATCGGTCGTTGCCGTCGCCGCCGCCACTACCACTAAATTAGATATAAAATACATTCTCTCGTACCCTAAACCAATTCTGTCGCCGCTGCCGTCGCCGCCGTCGCCGCCGTCGGCAAATAAAATCTAGATTGTCACTGCACAGTATTATAAACCGTGCCCCTCGATTGCCCTCGCACCCCTAACCCGTAATATGATACTTACGATTGCGCGCCATTTTACTTCCCCTAATCGACGGCCTCCAGCACGCGATGCAACGCGACGATCCTCGACAGCTGGGCTGTGCCTGCTGTCGAGTGTCCACTACGAGGTCGAGAAAGGGCTGTGCCCGCCTCAACTTTAGCGAGCGATGCGACGATATTCGACAGCTGGGCTGTGCCTGCTGTCGAGTGTCTACAATGGGGTCGAGGAAGGGCTGTGCCTGCCTCGACCTCAGCGAGCGATACGAAGATATTCGACAGCTGGGCTGTGCCTGCTGTCTATTGTCTTTAAAGATGTCGAGCAAGAGGTTCGTTCCCTCGACTCCAGCCAGTGAGTCGGTGATCGTCGACTGTTGACGATCACTGCATTGCTCGACATAGTAGATCTTCGACAGCAAGAGCAGCCCAGCTGTCACAGCTGGGCTGCCCCTGCTGTCGAAGGTCTGGGCCCGCTTTGATCTCATACAAAGCCTGATTAAATAAATAGAAGGCTATTCATATAGAGAAAGAATAGTGAAATCCCTGTCTTCACAAACTTTGCGATTTCTGCACGTAGAACTATTATAATCAAACTCCGCGTATATATTGTTTAGGATCCTGCCAATGTCGAGAATATTTTATTTTGTACGGAGGAAGTAGGGCAACACCCATGTATGTACAGAAATATTTGCATTAAGCAATTCAGTACAATTTTGGAAATAGATTACCTCAAGATCTCTTATTAAAATATTCTAAGTCAATCCTCATAAAATCAGGGAACATTTCTTAAAAGCATTCGGTATGGACCCAACGGCAACACTGTCTCAATGCTTAAAATGGTATTTCACAATTTATGTTGTACTCCATGGCGAACTAAAACGATTAGCAGAAAGGGAAATTTATTTCAAGATGCCTAATATAGATAAAAGAAATCGCGTATTGTAAAGGAAGGCAGTTTGAATGAAACCTATCAGTTTATTAACCTAAGCAGAGGAACCTGCACCGGCACCACTTCCAGAACCGTCCTGAGAGTCTGAAATCTTCTTTTCCTTTTTCATCCTCCTTTCCATCTGTTTCTTGTTCTTCTTCTGAATTTTGGATCGCCGAGACTCGGGCATTGACTCCCACTCCCTCGCAGTTTTGCGACCCTTCTAGAAAACATACCTTGAGTAGTGCTTGATCTTATTTTCCTCAATTGTTGTACGGAAACGCGGACATTTACCGGCTTGACGGTTCGGAGGATGATCGTAAGTACTGCCATCGTCAAGAATCTCGACAACTGGACAGGTTGGAGCTCTAGATTGGAGACAAGGAGCAATGCACTCCTTGTGGAACACGTGTTGGCATTGCAGCTCGACCACGTCTCCATCGGGGATGCACTGACAGACAATGCATATCTCCGGGTGGCCAGTAGAGCTCATTTTTGAATTTGATGTGTCGTGAAGGTAGGAGAAAAGAGGGACAAGTGATGGAGTTGTGAGTTTGTCTCAGATTCGATATTTCGCTCGTACCTCTTCACTATTTATTCTATAGAGATTCAGCAGCAGATTGTTACTATAGCAAGTGTCAGTATAGTTGCCCCTCTAAAAATAGAATGCCAGATTGACGAAAAAGTCTGTTACAAATACCATGGAATTTTGATTGTGACACATTAAAACATCCGCCTGATCAAACTCTATTCGTACAAATGAAGCGTTCCAAATCTTCTCATGAGCTAGAACATTGTAGTGTAATGCCCCGCTCCAAGTCATACAAGTCATATTTTCAAAGGGTTCGAGGCCTTACGCCAGCTTGCAATCGCTGAGCATTGAAAAAACGTATTGTAAAATTTTTGTTCAACGCTACACGTCATATTTTTGAAAAAAGCCAGGCCTTATGCCACATGGCAATCGCTAGGCTTTGAAATTACAAAATTTTGTCCATACAAATCCTGTGAATTGTCGGTGTCAACAAAAACCTTTCTATAAATACATCTTGGGCCAAACAGAAAAGTTTATTGAAGAGTCTCAATTAGGATCGGAGCCAAGAGACTGGAAAGGCCATACTTTCAAATGCAATGAAGTTGTTGTTGAGCACAACGTGGCTTTTACTCTTTCACTCGCAGTACACGGGATAGCCCCTGCGCCCTTCCGTCTTTGTCATACATTTCATGAAATCCTTCAAGGGCCTTTTCCCAATCTTCATCAATTCCAACAACCATCAGACGCATTCGGACAGGACCAAATTCCTGAACGTGCTCTAGCAGTGCCTTAAATCGCAAGAAACTGTTTTTCTGTCCGGATAGGGTCCACAATCCATGGCTGTACTTCGGAACCAATTTCTTTCGCATCTCTGGATCTATGAAGAATCTCAGGAGATGACAGTTGAGGTCCTTGTCTCCTCTTCGCCACAGCTCGACCACTGTTTCTGTATTCTTCGTCAAACCTGGAATAAACTTAATAACAGTACTTGGTTCCACGTTAGTCGCAGTTTTCTGCTTCTTGTGCAAGGATTCTGTAAACAAATTCATATCCCGTTCTCTTGCGACCGTAATTGTAGAATCTTGAGAGGTTTTCTCAGCCGACGGTTCCACATTTCCGTCTTCTGCGGTAATATTTTCGAAGGAGTTGCTTAGCTGTACGCTCTTGGAATTTCTTGACACAACACCAGAAAATTCCTTCTTTCTCTGGTACAACAAGAACAGCCTTTGTTCTAGCTCCTTCTTCCAAATTCCATTTTATCATCTTTAACAGCACGAATTTCTCCTTCTTCCTCTCAGTCTTCATCCGGACTTTTGCTTGCGATGACATAACTAGTGTTACCGGTAGAAAGTAATATATCCGTACTGATCTTCAGAGCAATTTACGGCTCAAGTTGCAAGATCTGCCTAGGTGCATTGAATCCGGCACCTTCCCCACCGCCTTGAATCGGCGTCACGAACCCTCTTCTTTCCATATCAAATTCTGAGAAAGCTGCTATATCGGTATGTTGCTGCAGGGTCTGAAAGTAATTATTCGATCTCCTTCTATGTTATAAAAGAGAAAACGATTCTGCATATATCAAATAGCTGCGCAATTTATTGGGCTTGAAGCAACATTTAACTAGATTAACTGGAATCTTTGTCAACATCGTTCGAATTGATACCATTGTTGACGTGTTCTAT